CATGTATTTGCATATCCATCAAGATAGGCACTTCATTTTTTTGTGCCAGCTGTTCTCCTCACCTCGCTGATGCAATCCTGTTTGCGTGTTGTCTGTAGATCGGATTTTGCACGTGATATCGAGTTTGCACCCGTTTTTGTACACACAAACCTTTAACAATCAGGCCCTTTGAGTACACATAACATAACATCTAATTTATAAATAATTTTAAATATACTGTCGTAATTTTCAAGGACATTAAAGGAGTAGGTGTGTAGGGTTAGTGTACCGACTCAGTGTGGCTTTAACCACCTCCGCTCACTGTTCACTTTAAAAAACCAAAATGCTCCCAGGTTAAGTTCGTTAGTTGATCTTCGGTCAACTTCTGTCTCAAACTGGAGTCATGCATCCTCTTTGTTGTTGTTTTGGTGTTTTATGGGTCAGAGGCAGTTGTATATGTTGTTGTTGGCAAGCCAAGCTGTCATTATCAGCTTTTCCTACTAACAATACATTTCCATTCGCTATTGTTTCAGCTTCCTTTTGTTGACAGACCACAGGCACAGCACTGATTAGCGTCGGCTTTGTTTGAGCTCCTCATGGTTTCAGCATAAGCCCTGAAACAAAATTTATGACTGCTCTTTGTTACCAATTAAATAGAGAAGCCCTGTGCTATTTAGGCAGCAGGAAGTCAACTTTCCTGGCTTAATAGTCAACAGTGCATCCAAAACCAAATGAGCTGTTGTCTACATCACTGCCCATCTCTTCCCTGTTCTGTCAGAGGTGACATTTATTTTTTTTAGCTAATTGGGTATAAAACATCAATTGCTTCATTAGTTCAAATCATGCTGCTACCTAATCAAAGAGGGTCTAGCAGCAGTACAGAAAATTGAGACAATAGTTCAGCTCAACCTTCTGGCAGGTACTTTATATGGTAACAAAAGAAACAAAGAAACAAGTCCTAAGATACAGTCAGAAATATGACATCTACAAAACCCAACTCAACAAAATACGTAAAATACTACACCCACAAAATGTTACCTGTGATGAGCTGGCATCCTGTTCAGGGTGTGCTCCATTTTTCACGCAGTGATAAATGAAGATATGGTAATATAAATCAATTTGTGATTTATATTACAGGTTTAAATTGTGATCTTTATACTTTTATACTTGTTGAGCTAATCATATTTGGTCAAACCGATTAGTCCCTATGCAGTAAACACAGGAGGGTGATAATTAAAGACGAGGAGTTCCAGTTTCACACTGCCACTGTCATGTACTGTGAGTACTAGGAGCATTTCTTCTGAAACATTACGACTTCAGTCTAACACACATTCAAACTTTAACATATCAAAAACAAACAAAAATTGATTTCTGCTTGCTTTCCAGTTTTTTATTTTTTTTATGTTTTACAGCTCATGATAAAAAGTCTCGCCAGGAACGATAGCTGGAGATAGGCACCAGCACCTCCCGACCCCACTAAGGGACAAGAGTGTAAAGAAAATGGATGGATGGATGATAAAAACCTGTGTGAAAATAAAGCAACTGCTAGTCCATCTGCCTGCAGCTGGGGGCATAATTAATTAAAACTTGCACAATGGTGGCATCTAGTGGTAAATAAGCAGATTGTAGCTAAACCGAGTTCCCTTCTCACTGAAGCTTTGACTGCACTGAAGAAAAATGGCAGATTAATAGGATGTGATTCATTTTAATTCATCCAATAGATCCAGCTAATGTTTATCTCTGTAGATAGATTTAACTGGACATCACTGAAGACAGGTGGACATGAGTGATGTGGAATGGAGTACACATCGCTCACAAATGTTTGTGAGTGAACCACCATTTGAACCCCATATTCAAATGAAAAAAAAAAAAAAGATTTTTCATAGTTTTCATTTATTTTGCGTGTATTTTGCTATGAGAGTTTTATTAAAAAAGATTTTTTTAAAAAATCCCCATTTTAAGTTTGGCACATATCCTTCTCAACTCTACTGAAAGAGAAAATCATTGAAGAAAAAAAAAAAGAGGAAAAATTAAAACATGCAACAAACCGAATGTGTAAGCAAACACGATAATACTAATACTTTAAAAAAGCAGTTAATCATTTGAAAATGTAATTCATTCTTCTTTGATGGTAGTCCTGTCAGCATCCCACATCTCAACGTGGTCTACCAAGTCTACCAGGTGAAACACTCTTTTTGTCCACAGTGTTTTTAAAGTGATTTCACACATTTTCTGTCATCTGTAAGTTTGGCTAGGCCGTCACACAGCTTTGATTTTCTTCTGGTGAAGTGAATTATGCTTAGATGTACTGAACTGATGAGAAATGAAGCTGCTATTAGCTTTTGTTCTGAGACCGTAGTGAGAATACCGGACACATTGTTGTTGTCTGCACTTGAACAGCCAGTTCTTGTCAGAAACTCTGCTGGCTTCCCTTCAGAAATGTCTTTACTCAATTTTGGAGAAATGTCCAGCTTATCGATGTCGATTTAACATATTTTCTCCAAATATAATTAGCTCTGTGCCATTGTATATGTATAGAACACAGTGGGATTTTTTTTTAAATCACTTCCTCCTGACTTTCATGCACATTAAGCACAGTAAGATCCTTTTACTCATTTATAAACCTTCTTCAAATTACAGCAGTTCCATTCAAATGATCAAACATCTACTGGAATAGCTGAATTTTTACGCCAGGTTCATCCAATTCACTATAACTCAACACATTTTATCAAAAAGTCAAAAACAGTATTTGTGGTGTGCACACCTGCACAACCACAGGACGCTCTTAAAATGACTCGTCATAATGAAGACGCAAAGGAAAGTATTTTACAGGCCTCTGGCAACACATTTTTTTTTCTTTATTCTGAGTAAGATGTGTCAACATCCAGCATGACAAAAATTGTACAAAGTTCACAATTTATAAATGAAATATCACAGCAACTTGTGATCTCACACATTTATAGCAAAATTAAAATGTCAACAAATCCATGCTGTGTAGTACAAAAATAAATCAAACTTCAGTTCCACAGAGAGAGCACAATAGTTTATACAAAATCCTGTCTTTGTTAATGGCGACTGAACTCAACCTCAAAATGAACCGGCTTGAAGAAAGTAATAAACTCTAAAGAATTCACAATAATTTATATGAAAATTCAGCATTCTAAATAAGTGACAAACCTCTTTGTGTGTCCCTATAGATAGTCACAGATAACTCTTTTCAGATTTATTATTTATGCACCAACGTCTGATGAGCAGCTGGCTTGTGCTTTAAAAGTCCCTCTGTCCGTTTTTCACCGTTAATGAGAATTAATTCAAAAACTGGTACTAGCTATAACTCTACTGAAGCATTACTATATTGGCAAAAGCTGCAGACACGATGCTGTGGAGAAAAAGGCGTATGCAGTCATGGGCGATGGGTAGTAGAGTCCTGAGCGAGGACCCGTAAAGTACAATAGATGAGATTCAATCCAGGTGAACCACAAGCACCTTTTTGCATTAGCTCTCGAAAAGGCAAATTCTGAACATGATCGCTAACAACTACGGTGACGGAATGGGAGGGCTGCCTACTTTTAGTCTGTGAAGGTCTCCAAGCTTTCACCTCCTCTTGCGTTTTTTTTTTTTTTGTTTTTCTTTTTCAAACCTTGAACTGATTGACTATTTAATTCTTTGTACAGTGATTAGATATAAAGTGCTGCTGGGGGGGGGGGGGGGAGGGAGATAACTTCATCTTCCTAAAACGTAGCAAAGAAATGAAAGAATTTTAATGTTTTTACAATTGATAACAGCCTAAAATATAACTGCTAAGGTTATAATCCTTCTGTTCAGATTTCAGAGTCCCTGTTCCTTCTCTCTTTTTTTTTTTTTGTTTTTTGCTCTCAGTGGTAGGAAATCCACACCTGCAGTGGCTCCAAGCGGTTGGTTGCTCCAATCGTGTGCCGAAGAGGTCACCTGGAAAAATTGCACGGCGCCATATGTAAGGATAATATTTTCAAGGAGAAGTGCAAATAGTCTTACTGGCACATAAGTGGGGACAGCGACCCTGTAAGTCCCGCTCTCTATAAATACTCTCTACAAAACCTTTTCTCCTCTGGCTCTCGGGTAACTGCGTTTAGCTTCTGTAAGAACATCAAAACATGGAAACGAAGGTGTCCCTGTGCAAAGTCGTACAGAAAAAAATAAAAATAAAATAAGTTCAACTCATATACTTTTTGCTCCTAAAACTCAATGTCCAGGTTCCCTCCTCTTTTTTTTTTTTAAAAAGACATTTTGTATTAAAAGATTTGTATAAAAATCAATATTTTACATAGGCTATATTAAAAAGATTCATGTTACCCCGCTATGCTTATAAACAAGAGATTGCATATACCCAACTTTTTTTTTTCCTCTTTTGCAGATTGCATCGCATATACCTCTTTTTAAACAAATGATTTTGTTTTTTTTTTAATATCTTTTAAATATTGCTGAGACATTTCATGATCCTAGCAACATACCACTGATCAGATTTGATTCTTTAAAAAAAAGGCTAAAATCTTGCCTCTAAAGGTCATTGTCTTTTACAAATCTTTTCTACCTCAAACTAATTTAGGAATGAGCATGAGAACATGCAAAATTGGCTCTGCTAGATACAGTAATGAGGGGAGGGGATTTCCACCATCGGGTTTCCGTGTAATGATGTTTACAATATAACTTCATACATTCATACAGACATCAGGTAATTCTCTTTCCCAGAATTCATTTACAGCACCGATTAAAAATGGCCCCACCTACAGTGACACATCTTTACTCTTCGTCATAACAAAGCACAAATGATTCTCAAGCATTGTTTAGAAAATAAAGCAATTCGCAAACCAGTTCTTGCTGCTATTTGACAATCTACACGCAGGAAGAAGAAGATAAAGAAGGAGTGGGGTTGGTGGGGGGGTAGAGGGGTGAATCATCTCAGTTCATTAAGTCCAGAATCATCCACTGGAAATAAAAAGCTTCTTCCTTGCTTGTAGTTTTTTCTTGTTTCTCGTCGTTACTCTTTTTTTTTTTTTTTTTAGTCTGAAATGCTTTGTTTTCTCGAGCAATAAAAAGAACCTCTGTTTTCGTTAGCTTACTGTTCAGAAATATACACTAAAAATGTGCATACATGAGCAGCTAGAAACATTACATGACACTATGTCAGCTCATATGAAAACGTACAAAATGTAAATGTCCTCAAAAACTATTTTGCGATTTACTCCTTTATGCTCTTCCTCAAAAGCAAGACTCAAAAACAAAAAAAAAACAAAAAAAAGAGAGAGAAAAAAGAAATTATCTCGAGGTCTTTTTAAGCGTAATACCTCTGTTTTGTTTTTTTTTCTTTTTCTTTTTTTCTCCAAAGAACAGAATTCAGAATATATATAACACTATATCAAATTACTGCACTGAACCGAGGAGGTCAAACCGTCACTGCCTGTCTCTCTTTCTGTTGCGGAGAACCAACGTGTCCCTTTGCTGAGACGTTACACTTGAATCCCTTGAACTGCTTGCTTGATGTTTTCCAGCAAAGCTTTATTTTCCGCACTCTGGTACTGGTCTTGGTTTGTGTAGATATCCGTGAGAGTGGTGACGTAGGCGTCAAAGTTCTGCTCACTTAATGACTCCTGCATGACCAAACACACACACAAAAAAAAAAAATGGTTAGTGACTCTAAAGGTTTTGTCGGATTTTTTTTTTTTTTTTTAAAACACCCCTTTTTGCAGTTCTAGGGTTTTACGAACCAGAATATTGTGGCGTTTACCAGGTTTGACAGTCATACTTTGTTTTATCACTTAAGATCCAACGAAAATGTTTTAAAGTCTGCGGGTCTAGCATGACAAAATGTGAAAATGCTCATGGACTACGAATACATTTTCATGTGTTCTTGGTTCTTCTGTTGAAGAGAAAGATACAAAGTAGCACATTCAATTTCACAACAGGAAAAAGCTTCTTACACCGCCACACGAGAGACTTACTTGCTGGTGCATCTGTAAGCAGCTGTTATTCCTCAGAGGAAGCTCTTTTTCTGTCAGGGGTTTCTGCAAGCAGTCGAGAAAGAGAGATTTCTTTAAGCAGGACAAGTTCAAACAAGATGCTATTCCTAAAATCAAACACTAGATGGCAGTATCTATTAACCAGCCAAATGCTATAAGATGCATAAAATAAAAAAAATAAAAAAAAATGTAACTTGAACATAGACAGAAAGCCGTGCGAGAAATCAGGACAAAGCCTTATAGTGATTTAAGGGAGATTAAAAATACTTTTTTTTACTTCTTTCATCTGCACACCTCCAGAGATCTAAAAGCAACATAAAATAAGAAAAGCGGCTGGCACATTTCAAACAGCGTTTGAATCTGCACTTTGTCAGTGATAGATCTATTACGCAAGAGATGATCATAAAAAGAATGGCAGCGTAAGGGACAAAGCGGGATGAAATTGTCTGTGATTGCTTTAAAAACTCTGCAACAAAATGAGCAACAAAAATAATCGAACGAAAGGGAACAGAATAAGGTGTCAAAGGAGATGGAAAAGTTGGGATCATATCTTTCAGAAACATCTTTGGCGTGAAATAAAATGACTGCAAAGGCAGATTCTAAGAATTCAACCCGCTACAATAACAGTCCTTTAATCATAGCTCCCCTGTAAACGTAAACAAAACCTCAACATATTGTTTTGTTTATGCTGAATTTCAGTTCTCACAGTTGCTGCAACTCATTTCACAACTCCCCCTCAGCCTTTGGGAAGACAAGCGATGCTCCACACTTTAGAGTAAGCATGCACAGAAAGCCGTGGGCAAATGTACCACAGATAAACGCAATGGTTCACTACGTTCTGTGACTTTCTGGCTCGCCCGTTTCCTGGTGGCCCTTACCATATGAGGGAGCTGGACATTAGCTAAACTGTTAATCAGTGAGTGGCTGAGGTTGGCCAGCTCATGCAGCAGAGATTCATTTTGCTGTTCAATCACCTTGTTTTCCTCCTCTATGCACTTCAAGTTGGTCTCCATTGTTGTGATCTGCAGAGAGGAGGGTGGGGTCACGGTGCGTTACATGTTTCCACTTGCCAATAAAAAAAAAAAAAAAAAAAAAAGACGGGTGCTGGGCGGGTGACTCACCTGTGTTCTGAGTTTGATCATGTCAGCCTCCACTTGTGAATTCGATTCACTTAAATCTTTGATTTCATCGTCCAGCTGCTTGATCTCTTCGTCATGATCCAGCCCTGGAGACGACAAGCGGCATTAATCCCAACCTTATCGTCAGATTTTAAAATCTTTACAAATGACAAATGTGGTTACGTTTTTTGGGGGGGATGTGTTTTTTGACAAGTGTGTGACGCAACTGGATGATAACGTCATAGCGTCTCTCAAATCTGCACGATTTCTTTCAACCTGTTCCTCCAGATTGGAGCCATTCGAATTATTACCCCATCAGTGGCCGTTCATTTGCTGCCCCCCCCCACCCTCACCCTACACACACCCCTCACCCTACACACACACACGCACACACACACACACCACTCTGATTGGTTTATTATCTGTAATTGGAACTCCGCTCTGTAAACCCTTCCATGTTCCTTGTTCCTGATTGGCTGCATTGTGTGGCTGAGCTTACCGTTGCTGGCACGTTGGTGCTTTATTGTTAGCATTTCCACTCCCGAGAGCCTGGCTTTCCTCATGGCGGAGGTGGCGCGTGGACAACCCGACAGACTGCAGGCGGCAACCAGAAGGAAGCTTTGTTTCATATGTTGTTCCACGTCAAAATACACTGAAAATTGTTAATGTAGACTGCCTGTATTGTACTTTACATGAATTTAAAGAGAAATTTGTCATTGGCGCTTGGAAAACCAGCAACTTTTTAAATAGAAGAGTTTTGTTATCAAAGTAAAATAATAATAATAATAATAATAATAATAATAATAATAATAATGTTTGTTGTATATACTTCTATTTTTTTCTCTTCACCTGTATTGTTTCTTAGTTGGTTATAAGTAGAGTGAAA